TCTGGAGGCTCTTCTGTACTGTCTAAGTAAGCTAATAAAGACAACGGAACAGTTCTCTTTAACATGGCTTCGGAGTCGTCATGCCTGCTGTGAAAACGTCGAGTAAATGTATTGCTAAGTACTTCTGTAACATCTGTGTCGTTGTTTTAGCTTGTAAGAAACAACTTATTTGAAGATATTGGAGGGTTATCCCTTCAAGCAAAGCGTAGTCTTGTAACTCTTTAATAGCTTCTTCCATATCAGTCTCTTCAACTAACGCTCTTAAGAACTCTCCAGCAACTTGGGGAACACTTATAGATGGACTCTGGAACAACGCAAACATATTTCTCCCGAGTTTACTAATGATCCCCATCACTTTATTAAACATCGCGAACTCAGTCGTTGAGGAATAGGGTTCACAAACAACATATCGGAAAACATTCACTGTCCCATACACTAATAGCCCTTCCCCATTTTTAATATTCTTTTCTAACACGGAGAAGACCTCTTCAGAAACTCCTCGAGATAACACAACTAACTTCCCACGCTTTTCTAAGTCTTCTTCGACTTTAGGGTTTAATAAAGTGACAATAACTTTGAGAGCCCAAAACACTATGATACTCTTGGCACTTCCCATGGCCTTAATTAACACTTCTATCACTTTATCTTGAATGGCCTTATTCTCTACAAACATTTCATAGCCAGCATTCGTCCCTAAAAGTCGCTGCAGACACTGCAAATACCCTTCTCCAGCCTTTCCATTGAATATCAATTTCTCAAGGGCTTTTGTGATCAATTTACTCCGGATGTCCTTCTCAAAGAGTAACCCACTGGGAGAGACATTATTGTTAAATAAGAAGACATACACCATGAATAACTCAGTCGGGTCGATGCCTGTGATTTTCGTCCCATCGAAGTTCGAGAGGTTCTTTAAAAGGGACAACTCCATCTTCCCGGACTCGGCTGCAGTCATCTTGTCGATAACTAAAGACCCAAACAGTTTCATATCAGAGATGATCGGATCCCCCTTAGCAGCAACTACACAGTCGTACAACGACACTATAAAGTTCTCGCGCTGTGTTGTTAAGAACATTCGCTCTGTGCCATCAGTGAACGAAACCGTCACTTCCATCCCATCGTTGCCTCTATAGATGTGTTGGACCAAATTCAGATTTTTTGCAAACGTCACGTTATAACTTGCGGCGTCGCGTTCGATGAACCAATTTTCAGTGAAGCACACGATCTTCTCTGGTTTGAGTTGTCCGTGCATCGCGCGCACTTCTCCGAGTAAATTGGAGTTCTCGGCTTCCGCCTTCCTCACATTAGAAGTCTCCAAGAGATCTTCCATAGGAAGTGTCTCGACTATTTGTAGTTGTATGCAAAGAGCTTTTGTCTTTGCGATGATGTCCGCGGAGGCTCTTGCAATGTCGTTGAACGTGTAAATTTCAAATTCGTTGCCTTCGTGAATGAAAGCCAAAGAGTTTGAGTCGTTCAGTGGAATGATTTTTAAAATGTCACTGAAGAACATGATCTTCTCCTTTTGGTCGGCTTTTTTGGGCATTTGGACGACTCCATAACTCCGGACTTGAAGAGACATTTCAATGATTTTCCCACTCGGCTTCACTTTTTTGACGGAATACGTCACCGCATTTTGTGAAGTACTTTTCGACTTATAATACGACAAAAGACAAAGTAAATAACTCCGATTCTGTGAAAGAAATTTGTGTTTGCTATTTGTAAGGACTAAAGTAAACTCCTCGGGACTTGTAGAGTTGGGAATGATCTGAGTCACACTCCGCCAGTCCCAGACTTCTACTAACTCGTAACTCACATTAGAAACTATTGCTAGAAATTTTTCAGAAATGCACATTTGAAGATCTTCTTTAGATAGTAACTTGACGCGGCGGACTAACATCCGCTTCTCCGTCATTTGAGAGAAAAATTTGATCGATTGGACCCCATTCGGGATTTTAGAAATTTCCATCGCTCTAATTATTCAGTTCTATAATTTGGAAGAATTTCTTTTGTTCGAAGAAACACTTTTTGTGTGTGTTTATTCGTTGTTTTTTTGTGAAGCAGTACATGTATCATAATTCGGGAATTTACTCATTTTTGTTCTCAATGTCGAACTATTATAATTGGGCTTGAGGAATTTTGATGTCATACAGATTTTTTCGACTCTGTGTGTGACGAAATCTGATTGTAAGTCGTTCATTTTTTAATTGTATTTCTTATTAATTTATATACTATTATTTTAGTTTATTTTCATGAAATAATACTTTAATTGTTTTTTATTATATATTATAGTTTTTTTGGATAAATAAATAAAATAATAAAATTTTTATAATAATTATAATGATATGTTTTTTATTAAAAATTATTAAATATTTTTATTATTATTATAGATTAAATATTAATTATTCAAATACTATAATATTATTATAAAAACTACAACTGATAAATTATAATTAATTCAATTAATTAATTTTATTTATACAAAATAGAAAATATCACAAAACTATGTATTTATAGTTTTTTACTATAATAAAAGTATTCAAACAAAAATATAGTAAATAATAATAAAAAGTACTACTAATTATTTATCATTCAGAACATTAAAGACGTAATGGTGTTTTTAGATCTTTTTTATTCGCGATTTACTCGTCTTCCTATTGGCAACATACTTATTCGACTGTTACCCATTTTGTTTACATTACCACTCCCATTTTTAACAACACGATATTACAGGTACTTTCTACCACTTCCAGTGATGTCACTCACAATTATTGTGTTATTTACATTTCAAAATGCAAGCCACTTTACTTATCACATCTTCTATTATATTT